TAGTTCCATGTAGTCTGAAAATCGCGATGCTGTGATCAATATTTTCATACAGGTCCTAGATTGGTGCCACGACGGAATTCATATTCGATAAAAACAAACAGTGAGAAAATGAACGAACAACTGATTTTAAACTATTATCACAGTTTAATATACCTAATATAATATCATCATAGTACAAAAAGCAATATTTTGAATATGGAATTCGAAACCGAATACAATTATGCAATATCATAAAATATGCATTTTTCATAAAACAAGAATTTGAAATAATATGCTATCTTATATAGTAAATTCATGAAGAAAGAAAAAAAGAAGTTGTTATTTAAAAAATAAAATATTATTTATTATTTTCGAAGAAAAATATTTACAGTTTGTTTAATAAATAAATACTTTAAAAAATCAATACTTCCGGTATATTCGATATTTTATGTCACCAAAAATTTACTGATTATTGTTTTAAATTGGTACATGAATCAATCACGAATGAAGATGATCAGTTATGAATTTTTTTTTTTACATCCAGTTGCTTTTATAAAAAAAATAATTAATTTCTCAAAAAAAACGTATCCTTCTTACTATTTTAGAATAGTTTCAGATTTAATTAAGATTTAGGTTACGTGAGATTTGACCGAACAAGTGGCTGACATTTTGTGGTTTTGTAATTATGGTTTCTGTGAATAATCATTTATAGTAATTGTATTAGCTAAGAGAATCGGTCTCATTCATAAAAATATACAAAAACATAATAGTTGGTTGGTTGCCTTACAACCGCACCAGATAGCCAGATACGGTAAAATATTCCTGCAGTATGACATATTCGCCCCGGTTGGCACGCATTGCTTACAAAATCTTCCATCACCTTTAATATACTTGATCTATATTTTATACCTTCCATCTTTTCTATGCAACGATGCGTTCCGTAAGGTTTCTAAATGTCATCGGACACCGGAAAAGTTATTATTTAAAGTATTCGTTATATGTACATACATATAATACATAATAAGTATCGCTTGTAAAACTTTTACGACATTCTGAACTAAAAACTAGAATTGATAAAAATGGCATTTAAATGAGATAGGCATGTACATTGGTACATCAGTGAAAGTAGTAAATAAAGTTGTGTACCTCACAAATATAAGTAGGTACTATAGAGATTTTTTGATTAGTACTGAAATAATTTTTAGCCTATATGATCATGATATTATGATATATGTAGGTACCTTACGATCTTTCTTATTCATTAAAATCCGAAAAATATGTAAGTAATAATATAAATAAAATCTTTATTGACTGTAATCTACGCCTATTAGTAAGCAACCAGCGTTATGAAGTCTTAATTCAGTTGCACTTTTTGTAAATTGTTGGTTTATAGTTCAAAATTCCATTTTTTTTTATATATAATAATCGTCATAATAATCAAAGACGTCATAATATATGTATAGTGTACTAATAATGCATACATCTTAAAATAAGCAGTGAGCATAATTTAAAATATTTAACTTGGGGTGACAATTTTTTATAAAAAGGAATTGAACGATTCTCACAGCAAGATTTTTAATGAAGACATCTGTGCCTGTGCATTAGAAAGAAAGAAAGCATAGCAACAATTTTTTTTCATCATTAAAACCAACATACCTCGTACTCTTAGACGACACATAAACTACGAATGATAAGCGATATTTTTTATTTTATGATTACAGCGAATGATATTGTTCGTAATTTAGATCATATAAGTAGACGTTTTAATGATTTATTTACCCATATTAACAAAAGCTTTTTTCTATAATCTATATTTCTGAAAAGTTTTTGATGATTTAACACTTGAGTTAGTAAGTAGGTACCTACCCAACAAATATGATTACGGATTTGATCATTTATGTCTACTTATAATCAAAGTATCACGGCAATGAAAGCTGAATAAATTATTATACTTACAAGGCCTAAATAAAATTTATGTATTTTGGGCTAGAATTAAATAGTTTGGAAAATTGTTAAATAAAGATTATATACTTAAAAAATATTTATTTTGCACTTACATTATTTTTAATAATAAAAATAAGTTCGAAAATGATTTAATCACGTTCATTTAAAATGTTTAAATTAAGAACATGTTTTAAAGTAAAAAATTACTCGTAATAGGCCAGTTTCAAAAAAGTTAAATTAATCTCATTGCATGTTATGAATTTCTAAAATTCATTATATATTTAATAATGAGTACTAAATATCTTTTACTATTAGAGTGGTATCAAGATTGGGACAATTTAAATAAATGTATATGGGTAAGATTTTTATTGCTATTTTAGGTATTTTATGTAATATTTATATTTAATGAATTATTATTCATTGCTTTTAATATTTTATTTGAACCTATAGATATCTTGATAAAAAAATAAGTATATTTAATAGTTTAAAAATTAAAGTGCGCAGCTTTGACGATGACGATCACCACAAAGTGCGCAGTAGTAGGTTACATACATAAATTCAGGTTTATTGCACTCACCCACGTACTAAGTATCTAGTTAACTCACCTACGTCGGTACTAAGAACTTACTTAATTAATGTCGCAATAATTTAAGCTTATATTAAAAAAAAAAAACAATAGAAAAACACAAGAAAATGTTTACGAAAAACCTGCGAAATAGAAGGAAAAGGAGGTCATATTTTTATTTTTTTATTTTGTTAATTAATGATGTATGTACCTAGAATATGTTTAACATTTAATAAAAGCTCACCTAATAATAAAAATATGCAATTAGTAAAGCAAAACGAATTATCTACATAGATGAACTAATTATACCGAATATTAGACCAAAAGAACAGTCCCTTGCACTTGCATCAATCATCCCCAATCAATAAACCCCAATTAAAATTAAGTACCTATCCCAGGTTTTTTAACACACATGAACCTAATGCTGTATTTCTAAAAGAACACTAATGTTTTAAAGGGCCCTCTAGTGAACACTACGAACAAGTTACATAGCTTTAGTAATCCTTACCTATCAATTCTTTGGCGGCATTTCGTAAATTTACTTCGTGTTGGTATAGATGGCGCTTAAAAAAATTTGCTAAAATGCATTAATTTAGATTTTTGTTGTTGTGGTTGTCAATTTTTGTTATCATTTGCATGTTGTATTACAACAGCAGCATTAAGCTCCTTTTTTACTCTGGTATTCTGTAAGAGCTTGGTCCTTCCCCGGTCAAGCAGATCCATTCCTGCTACAACCATAATATAAGTAGCTGCAGCGTGGCTCTACCACGTACAAAATGAAATAAGTAAAGTACCTAGGTACCTATATTAATTTGTAATGTAATACAAAATGAGGTGTAATGTAATGTAATAATACAAAGTGGGATGAGATAATATAAAATAAGCCTAATTTTATCGGGACCATAACTTGTCAAATAATTAGGAATATGAGTATTTTCCGTTGCGTACTTTTAATTTTCAAAGTAAGTAGGTAGGTACCTACTTACTCCGTCGCGGGCTCGCGGGTCATTGTTTAGAAGAAAAGCCGGAGTCAAAACGTAAGTCTAAAGAGTCTAACAGCTGATTTTCTGGCCTGGTTGTATTGTGATTGTCTGTTTCAGCTACTGCATCCTAGTATACCTACTATCATGTAGCAAAAGCGTTGGGTACCTATACATCTGGCAAGGTAAGGTTAGCAGTTAGGAGAGAGTGCCTCAAAATGTTGCGCGTATGGCACTATAGGTACCTACCTAATATTATGATCTGTGTAAGCTGTAGCTGTAGGCTTTTGTTTATTTTGGTTGTTATCGCTTGATTAAAATTTTCCAGGAGGGCGTCATGCTTAGGGTGCCCTTTCAGCTTATCATTGTTGCAAATCCGCAGATGGATAAATTTTATTATGTATTTTATATTTGTATAGTATGGTGTGTGTGTGATGTATGTCATAGTATGCTGTATACTTAATATTCATGCTTGTGTTATACGACTGCTTACAAAATATGCAGCTAAACGTAGTAAATTCCAACAGCTAAGCATTAGTTTCCATAATCTAAAAATGAATTTACCTACGTGAGAGAAGCGCAGAATTCATAAGATAGGTAAACGCAAGCTGAGAGGAGAGGATCCCCGAGCCCCGAGCACACGCCACACGAGCGTTATAGATGACGCCGGGTCTGGACCGGGGGGTCCGGGAAGCCGGGAACGATTCATTGATCCGAACCTTCTCGGAAAACAGACAGAGAGATAATACAAGGGCGGCGCTTGCCTACGTACCTCTCTGTCGTCCCCCGTTCAAGAATTTCAAATCTTCAATGCTATCTATTTGTGGAAATTTTAAACTCAAGAATAGAATTTTACTCTACATTAATACCTAAGTATTAATATGGTACATAGATTAAGTTTCACTGGCTTAATATGTGCCAAATATTCTTCTTTTACCTTTGGTTTTACCACAAGAACTACATGTTTAATACATGTAGAACTACACTCAATAGCAAATATTTTGAAATTGAAATTTATATCATGTGATAAAATCAAAACTATACCAAGCTTACATTCAGTTTAATAATATTAAAGTCCTTAAAACTTAACAAAAACTTATCCGAGTCTGTAGTTGCAGCTGGCTGAATAAAGGAAGCGCGAAAGAGACGGCTTGATCTCATTTCAAATACCGAGGTTCCGACGTTGCTCGGTGGCATGTTTTGTCTTTGTCATGCTACCAGCGGAACGTACAAGTTTGTCGAGTCGTCACGCGTACCCGTCCGTTGTTGCACATCGACGTCAACCGCTTTCAGTACTATAGCGCGTTCCTCCGCGCTATAATCTACATAACCTAAAATCTTAGTTTTGATTAAAAATTATATTTTGCAATATTATTGTCCCAATACACATGATTATTTCGAGTTTATAAGATTAGTGAAGTGATATTGACGCCCAAACAAGGGCGATACGTGGAGTGTATTTTTGTGCAACAAAAGTAAATACAAACGGCAAGCTGTGGGGATCAGGGGCCTTTTTTTTGCCGCCGCAGGGGATGTACTATCCTGTGAGTATAAATATCCCGTTATGTAAATCAAAGAAAATGTCGTACGTAATTTATATTTGAAATAGGCGGCATTGTACAAATTTAGCCGATTTCCTGTATATGAAACAGCACATTATTATGGCGCATGGCATCTATTCCTTAGTATCAGTGTGCACGTTGTTAAATCTGTGTTGTCATCTTACTTAATTTCTATCTTATTCATCACGTTTATCTAAAGCAATTTAATTATCTGTTTACTGTTTATGCAGTAGTATCTACCAGTTTCGTTTTACTCTGCTTTAACACAATAGATTAAGATACGACCTGAAGTTGTCTGCAGGTAGGAGTTATTTAGCATCATAATACAAAGGAAACCAAAACTTTAGATAAGAATATCTTGCTCATCTTCATTATTGATCTTTAAACTTTCAATTTTAAAGAGCGCTAAACAACCAATTTTAGGGTTATCACTGTTGGCCGGTATTCACAGACAATCTCGAGTTAAAACTTAACAAATTTGTGTAAACATTGGGCACACACAAATTAAAACAAAAGTTATATTTCTATTATTAATGATATGAGATACTCATAATAGGTATTGTACGTTTTGACATTTTAAATCTCGTATGATGGAATTCTTTATGAGGTCAAAATTGGATAATTTTTGGATTATTTTTAGCGGACTTCAAAAACGAAGTTTGTAATGTCACTCACTATTTAAACTACATTCTGGTTGTTTGTGCTTTTGATTTTTTTTTATCAACTCAAAATTAAAAAATATATAACTAATACCACAATAATATAATAATTACCGCCATTACAGACGGTGTAAGAATATCCACTACCCCATGTCGTCCTGTAAGTGTCGTAAGAGGCGAGGTAACAAACCACGTGGTAGAGCCATGCTGCAGCTAATATTAGTAGTATAGTTGTAGCACGAATGGGTCGGCTCGACCAGGAATGGACCACGCTCTCACAGAATACCAGCGTAAAATAGCAGCTTAACACTGCTGTTTCGTATGGTGAGTGTAGAGAACCGGAGACCCTTTTTACTGGAAAAGAGGCATTCCATCTTAGTCCTCACGGTTGACAACGCATCTGCATTTTGATTCGCAAACGAGGATAGATGTAGATGTCTATGGGCCACAGTAACCACTTACCATCAGATGGACTGTGTGCTCGTTTGTTACCCTATCCTATAATAAAAAAACCAGAAAGGCAGAAGCAGTGTTTGCAGATTTCCTCATTTTTGCGGAACATCCCAATTTTCAGGGGTATGTCTGCCGAATGTCCCGATTTTTCATTAACCTCTTTAGTCTGTACTTTGATCAATAATTTTAACAGCAAAATAAATAAATCTGAAAGCTACTAACATATGCTGCGGTTAAGATAATTAAATGAATTGAAATACAAACGTCTTATAGGTATGTTCTACAGTAGAACTTCTACCACTAGTTAATTTCTTCAAGCAGTTGTATTGTAGTCTCAATAAATAAAGTGACATAATGCGTACGATGCCAGAATTTTTGAATGGGCGTTTGAGGCCGTTTAAGTCATGGAGGCCAAGGTTTTTTTATAGCATTTTTGGCATTGTAGGTAATCGGGACGACTTGAAAACCAAATTTCCGATTATTTTTATCTTCCGTCCCAAAATTTAACTCACTGGACTTGGTAATACTAGGCATAAGAGTCTTTCTAATAACAACAAAAAAATAAAAAACTGCGGTCGCCAACCCAACTACCAAACCGTGGCAACTGTGGCAAATATTCCCATTTTGGGGAAATCTGTGGGAAGGCCTATGTCCAGCAGTGGACTTCGATAGACTTTTAATGAAAAGTACAGGGAAGTTAAAGAACTAGGCACTTACCTAAAAAGAGTCAAATACTTTCCTCATTACAGCTTCTGAAGTCGAGGCACTAATTCTTCTACACAGAAGCTATCATGTTAAAATTATAATTTTTTTGTTCTTTGAAGTCTGCTTTCACTTTTCATTAAAAGTTTAGTCTTTTGTTTCTCGCAGCTTAATTCGATATCTTTGTTGTTTATTTTGCGACAGTCTGTTCTGACTGTACTTTGTGTAATTTAGGTACTCAACAAAAGTATAATATGTTTTGTGTCTTGAATATACTCGATTTATGCGTTATACTCGAGTGTAGGTAGTTTATATCTCATCGGTTTATAAATATATTTTGAAACTATACTAGGCTAGAGCTGTTTCCCCAGTCACATCGACGAAAGCACTCAAAAAACTTTTCTTGAATTCTTTCAATGTAGATTTGACTAAAATTCCGGTCAAAACTTATTTTTAGTGAAGCCTGCAGTCAAAAGTCGGCTAAATTAGATTTTCGGACAAAATAGTTTTTTTTTTATATAGAATTAGAGTGACAATTGAGCACACAGTCACCTGATGGCAAGTGAATGCTGTGGCCCATAGACATCTACATTTATCCTCGATTAAGAATCAAATGCATCAATGTATATAATGCAATCTGCAATGCGTTGTCGCTCCTGAGGACTAAAAATACCTCATTTCCAGTAAAATAGAGTCTCTACACTCACCATACGAACACACAACAGCATTAAGCTGCTATTTTACGCGGGTATTCTATGAGAGCGTAGTCCGACCCCGGTCGAGCCGACCCATTCGTGCTAAAACCATAATATAGCTGCAGCGTGGCTCTACCACGTTTTTCCTAAGCCCGACTCTATCAAGTCTCTATCCACACCTAAACCTACGGTCACTGATATTTGATAAAGTATTATCAACGACTCTAAGTTAAGGTGATGTTGGGAATTCCAAAGGCCACCACAAAGTAGGCTAACATTTAGTTGATCCTGTTGGGCTTATGAAATAAAATAATTTAAACTACTTTATTTAAAAATCGATGGGCAATAAATCGCACTAAAGCAGTATATTTTCCAAACATTATTTTTGTATGCGTAAATAGCGAAAGGTATTGACCATCTAGTGGCGGCAGTCTTGCCAACTCGAATTTTTCTAAATCCGTAGATTGGTGTAAAAAATTCCGTAGATATTTTAAAATATCCGTAAATCTGCAGATTTCTAAAGAGGATCGAAAATTTTTGCTTTTGTCATAGATTAGATAAATTTTATGGATAAATTCTTTGTGTCATGTAAAATACTTGTTGTATGTTCAATTGTAATATAATCACAGAATAAATAATAGTACAAGGTATGACATCGAATCAAGCTGTACATATTATAAGAAAAAAATACCATAAAAATTTATTAAAAATTAATTATTTTCTTTTAATTTAATTATATTTAGTAAAAAACAAATAAAATAATTAACAGTTAAATATTTTTGGATATTTATACTAAAACAAGTACGTTACAAACTTGATGTAGGAAAATTTTAGAGCAATAGTTAGATGAATGAAAAATAACGGACCATCTTCACTAAAATTAACATAGATAATTTTTTTTCTGGTTTTTGTTAGTTTATTTAATAAATTTCGGTGTTTCAGACTTAGGTAATTTATGTAACAATGAAAAACTATAAAACTAACAATTTTTGAAAAATTTGAAAAAAAAAGATCGAGGAAAAGTGAAGACTTATTCGGTAGAATTTTTTTAAATAATTGTGAAAACAATTAGCACAGCCTAGATTAGAAAAATTTGAGACATAAGTGATAATTCTATCATCTATGAAAATTTTATAAGCGTTTATTTTAACTGCCTATTTTCCAAGAAGTGTTCGAAATTCGAAATAAACGTAATACGTTAAATAAATAATGCAAAATATCTACGCTATGTGAAAGAACGTCAGAATCGTGAAAGGCCGTAATGTCTGCCTACCCCTCTGAGTGACAGCCGTGATAGTTTTTTTTAAATGTTTTTATAGAGGATAAATGACTGGTGTACGAGTATTATAGACTAAGGTTATCGAAGGGTTAGAACAGGCAAAACTTCTCTATTAAGGCGAGACCTATGTTCTGCAGTCGACTGTTTACGACCTGATGACGATGAGGTATGGGGACCTGGAAGGAATAAAAGAAGTCAGAAGTAGCTCGGAGAACCAGGAGCGCGTACACGTGTACCTTACGTTAACTAGTTCGAATATGTGCGTTTAACGATTTTTCGATGGCACGCGACCACACCATATTCAACTACAAATATTCTTACAAATTTATAAACTTTTCATTAAAAACAATTGTTTTCATGGAACGTTGGTGACGCACAAGCTAACTCGATCGAATGTAGACGCTTGTGGATAGTCAATGGCTGATGATGGCGATTGACGATAAATTTACTTTGTTGACAATATACCTACCGAGTTCTAAATTACGTACGTACGTACGTCAGTAGGTAAATAGTTGCGGGTGAAGGCCACATTTACGAATAATTATAAAAACTATTTTTTACAAAGTATACTTATTCATTATGTCTATCAAAAGTACACTGCTGAACATAGTCCTCTCCCATAGATTGTCTCACATTGTCTCATGTGACATTATTGTCCTCTTATTGGCACCCTCAGATTTTTTTATTAGAGTTGTTATCAGGGAGATGCTGCACATCTCTTACGACATCCACGTGTTGATAAGGATGATTTTCTTACGCCACTACTTTTCTTGCAATTCTTTAAATAAAATAAATCCATTTTCTTGGCAATCTCACTTCAATATATCTAAACATTTTATATATTACAAGCGATCCGGCCCGGCTTCGCACCGATGATTTATGAATCTCGATAACACTGCCACCTACCGGGTCCAATTGTGAACGTTTTTTTTTTTTTTTTTTTTTAATAGGATAAGGGTGACAAACGAGCACACAGTCCACCTGATGGTAAGTGGTTGCTGCGGCCCATAGACATCTACATCTATCCTCGTTTGCGAATCAAAATGCAGATGCGTTGCCACCCGTGAGGACTAAGATGGAATGCCTCATTTCCAGTAAAAAGGGCCTCCGGCCACCTGCACTCACCAAGCGAAACGCAGAGGTAAACCTCTACTTCACGCTGGTATTCTGTGAGGTCGTGGTACCACCCCGGTT